AATGTAAATTAATATAAATAGCACTATGCTTGATGCTTTATCACCTGCAAGTATCTTGATGATCACCTGCAAGTTCATGTTTTAATATGTAGTTTCAATATGAGCTTTATAATAATCATTTTTTATGTACTTATAACTGATAAAGAAATGTCTGACATTTTTCAATTTTTTAACTTTACCTTTTTTCTCCAAATGAACTCAAAATAGCGGTTTACTGAAGTTGTGATTTGCTGAGCAAACCAGGTCACATTTCAGTCTTCAAATATTAAAATGTTTACATTATTTACTACTTAATGTTGTTTACAATAGTTGTATATTTTATTTTTTTCTAAATAAATGTCATATAAACAATATTAAATTACAGTTTAAATATTTCAAGGATAACAGTTTGGTGTAATTTGTTTAATGTGTATATTGCTATTTTGTATGTAAAATTTGTATAGTGCAACGCTTCTTAACAAGGCCTATTTATATAGTTCAAAATTCTATATAAATTAACAGTTAAAAAATTCCCTCTAAACCAAAAATTTTGCTTTCGGTATTTTGTGAGTGCTTTTTTTACTCTGAGGTGAATTTCTAATCAAATAAAACATAATTTTTTTTTTTGGCTAATTATTCTTGCAAATTTTTATATTTGTTTACATATATTATACATATATATTCATTTTTATTTTATGTCTTGCTTTCTTCTTTTTCCCAGTAACTCTCCTAGCTACCTAATTTATTGCTGCTTGCAGCCTTGTAAAATCATTTACCTCTTTGTAGGGTCTGTTGTTTTTATTTTCTAATTCCAATATTATGTAATATATCTTTTTGTAATAAATTCTTCTTTTTAATAACTGAAGAAAAAAAAAATGCTTATAAATAAAAAAAAAATGCTTATAAATAAAAAAAAACTCACATAAAAAATATTTCCTATCTAAAATAAAAAAAAACTTTTTGAATGTTGACAAAAATTTGGTTTACTTAACTTTTAACTTTACTTATTAATTGTTATATTTATTCACTTTATCAATTTATTTACTTAAGAACAAAGAATAAAATATAATTAATTTTAAGCAATTTTTTTTATAGATTCAGTTGTTAAGTAAAAATACAACGATCTTACATTAAAAATACTCTAAACTAAAACACTTACTTTTGATATAAATCATTCATAATACATATCTATAATAAAACATTTATAATAAATGTAATAAAGGTATAAAATTTAAAAACGTGTGGTTTAAGAACATTTTAATATTAAACACACTTGCGTTGGTCCTTGTGGAAGTTACTGGTAACTCGAATTAAGCTACTGATAACTTACCAGTCTGTAACGTTACCAGTAAGTAACTTGCTGAACCATAAGTATAAATAATATGAATAAATGCAACTTGAATATAGTGTACCTATAATATTGTTTTCTCCACAACATAAATCTGGGTATATCCATTTTCTTTTTTAAACATAATATTTTATCTCCAGATATTCATAGGTTAATTCACATCTCCTGAACAGTGAGCAACAGAAAGGGTTTTACCACCTATAAAAGGCATATTTCAGACAAATATTTTTTTCACCAAATTTTTCTTGAATTTTATAAACATGTTTTATAAATTTAATTGTAGCTATAGATACATATTTACTTATTTCTAGAGTTTATTCTTTACTGATGATGTTTTAAACATACTCACAACTTTCAGTACAAAAGCTTGTTGGGAGAAACTGTTGAGTCTTGAGAAAGTATGAGCTTATTTAAATTTTGTACATTTTGTATATTTTCTATGGTGTGCTGGTTCCAAAAAGCCCATTTATGCAAGATTTTCTCATATATGGTTGATTTGAAGGCCTATAAATATATAAATGCTTCATTTTATAACGACATTTTTTTTATCAGTATTTAATGATGTCATTAAATACTGATAAAAACAAGTTTTTATCAGTATTTAATGACATCAGCATTGGCATTATTGCTTAAAATGGTAATAATGATAGATTTTAAATGAAGGTTATTTTTTGGAAAACGTAAAAAATTCAATGGAACAATAGATAATCATAAATGTGTTTATACAAAATATTTAAAAGTACAAACCAGGTTCTTTTTTTCTTATCTTTCGTCATTTAAAATAATTTTCATGCTTTGAAATCACCTTTTTAAATAACTTTTTATGTGAGAACTGGAAATTTTGATTAAAAACAAAGAAATCTTTAACTAGCCTAACAGCAATTTCTTTTGATAGATGAATTATATCTTTATCTATTCAAATAACATAATTTTCTTTTAATAATTAATAGTGGAAAGTCGGTTAGCCTTGGACAGCGGGTAACTTGGGACACTTGATGTTCTCAAAACTTAAATTAATCTCAAACTTAAGATTTGATTTTAAATACTATAAAAACATTAGTGAAAATATGGCAAAATATCCATCATAATATGCCAAATTGATTGGCTGGGAGTGCAAGTTATTGTTTCTCACCACCAGAAGAGCGATGTATCATCATATTTGATTCACATAATAATATACCAAATTTTTATGTATACTAATAACTTTTTATTGATTAAAGATACATTTTTATTCACAATATTTATTTAAAAGAAAATTTGTTTAATACTTTAATTTACTGGTTTTAAAACTTGTATTTTGAATGAGGTATGATCAGGTGATATAAGATACATGTTTACAGGGTGGTTCTTGACAACTTAATCCATTTACATATTAAAAATTAGCAATTTTTTTATATAGATAATAATGCATTTCATATTATACATTAACCCATAATAATAATTCATTTAATTTCAAATAAAAGACCTAAGTTTTGAAATAAGTGTTTTTTATGTGTTTATTTTCATTAGTAAAAAGGTAATGTTTATATTTCTAAATGGTGACATTTTCATCCCACTCCTGACATATCAGAGGCAATTTTTAAAAGTGATTTTTTTAACTAATTATTTAATATATTTGTGTTACACAGGTAAAAAAGAGATAAAATTATGGTTAAACTATGTGTCTGGGGCTACCCTCCAATCTTGAAGCATGCCTTTTTTCTGAAATTTTTTCTTTTACGTTTTGTATATTGCCAAGGTACAAAATAATTATTTTTTTGTTTCTTATTCAATAGGTAAATGTTTACACTTTTGAAAAAGTCTTTTGACACTTTGTTTTCTGTTAGTACATGTGTACAATCTATTTTTTCCCTAAGTGTCCAGGGCTATCCAATTTTCCTCTAATAGATATTTTTTTTGTTTATATGAAGACAGATTAAATAGTAAAAATTTTCAGAAAAGCAAAAAATCATTTTTTATCATTTTGAAAATATAAGTCAGATGACAAGTTTGAGATTTCAACATTACATAGAAATTAAATAATATTAAATAGTCAGTGAAACATATATATACTATAATTAATTTTAAAACTAAATACTTTTGATAAAGTTTAAAAAAAAAAATTTAACTTTACAAGCTTTTTTGTTAATAGTTAAAAATAAGCAATCGTAATTTCTTTTAATTAAATATTTTTGCAAATTCCCACCTGACCATCACCTGACCATCACAATTGCTTTATTCAACCCATGACACAGTTTCTTTAATTTATTACAAGTATTTAAAAGCGATTTTGTGATGTATAAATAAACAATTTTGCAATTATTCCTAAGGCTTTTTTAATGTTTGTATTTTATTATGCAAAATACTAATACACTAGAACTCAAAGAAAACACTTCAAATCAGATGATTAAAGAATTTAATTTGTGAAAGCATAAACAAAGTGAATAAATGATGTTGATAATTTAAAGAATATAGTAAAATATTTTTTTTTTCCAAAAGGCCTTTTAAAGATAAAAAGTCTCTGGGGCTGCTGGCCCACTGTATACTTGTATGCCACTGTATATTTATGTATATGTAGAACAAACTCTTGGGAGAGAATTGATATCCAAACTACCACTACACCACTACCGCATCCAATACAATAAAAAAAAAAAGAAAATCAATAATAATCATTGCTTTCACATTTATACAAAAAAATAAATAGTTTCACATTTGCTACACCTAAAATTTCCACACAAGCTTTTAAAAATAAATATAATAAAAAAATATATTTTATAATTGTACAAATATATGTTTTACTGCTTTAAATCATTTTTTTCAACCATTTCACTATTTTTTGTCATTTAACCTTTTGAGTGCAGTGAATCGCAATTGTGGCTTTTAAAGTGATATTTAAAGCTATGGCCTGTAGCACTAAAATATTGGTTTCGGTAATTTATAAGTAGTAACACTGAATAATGTATAAAATTTTCTTTCTTTTGACATCTTTTTTATATATGTTTTATTGTGAAAAAAAGTGATAGTTTTTTTTTTTTTTTAGTTGACTTTTTCTAAACATCTTCTAATTTTATTGCACAGTCAAAAAATGTAGAAACCTATTGTTTTTTTAGTTCGGAGTCTCTTGCTATCATTTTAGATAAAAACTTGGTTCAAAATTGTTTCTTTACCAAAGTTCAAGAATAAATATTGATTTTGTGATTTTTAAAATTTAAAAAAAAATCTTTTAAGAGTTTTTAAATATTTTTTGTCTTTTTTAAAATTAATTAGTTACATAATCAAAAATTGAGGTAAAAGTTTAATTAAGTTAAACGAAAAGTTGTGGGAAAAAAAAAAAAATACAAATCTATTAAAGTGTAATATTTTATATCAATACTATGCATAAACTTTGTATTATTCATATTTATTTCAAGTCCTTCTGATTCCATTCAATTTTTCTGACACTGAAATCTTAGTATTCTTTTTCAGTCTCTGCAATCAAGGATAAATCATTTACATAGAATAGTTCCTATGGTAAAACAACACTGAAATTGATTAAGTTTAATTAAAAATGTATATATGTGCGTGTGTGTGTGAAAGAGAGAGTGTGTGTGTGTGTGTGTGTGTGTGCAAGTGAGTGTATTTTAAGAATATATTTTTTATGAAAATATGTTATAATATTTTTAATATAAAAATATGTTTTAAAAAATTTTTTTAGGGCGTCAAGTTTTTAGTCTAGTAAGAGAGTTTTTAGAGTTCTTCCATTTGGACTTTACATTAGCAGTTTTTGATCCCGAAAGTGATTTCGTAAGTTCTACTTTATTGTAAGCTAGTTAAAAACTTTTTGTAATCAATTTTTTTATGAATAAAAAACTATTAAATAATTTTTTTATATCTTATATAGATTGGAAAGGCTTTGTCAAGAGAAACTTTATGCACAGATTTCAGTATACCTTCTCATAGTAATTCTCCGTTATTAGCTGAAGTTTTAAAAAAAAAGGTTTTTAATTTTTTTTCTTTTGGCATTTTTGGTTTTAAAAATTGATTTTTAAATAATTTAATTTTTTACAGATGTATAAATAATTTTTGTTTATAAATAACAAAAGTTTCTAATTAAGTTGCTAAAAAATCAATAACATATAGACAATAGTTATTGAGCAAGAAAAAAGAAGGAGAAATCGCAAATCATATAAATCTGGAAACCATTACAGAAAGCAAAAAAGTTTGAGCGCTGATGTTTTTTAAATAAGTACCAGCCCAGGTATGGCACCATTATTTCATAAAAAGATTCTTAAAAATTTCAAGTTGAAAAAAATAATCAGGAGTAAAATAAGCAACTTTTGCAATTTTGAAATGAACTTATATTACTTCTAAGAAAGATTTTACTATGGTTATAAAAATATGATTAATATCAACAATTATTAAACAAAACTAGATTTTATTTGGTATTAAATTTGTTTGCAAATTCAATTAGGTCAGATCAAGGTTCAAATTAGGTTCAATATCCAGCTACTTGCAGAAGACCTCCTAGGCAAAGATTTTATAATTTGCGATTCTTCCTTAATAAAGGATTATAATTCTTTATCTAATAGATTGGTGTAGTTGTAAACTTGTGTGTAGTTGTAATCCTGCGTGTAAAGTATCTAAAAATCTTATTTAAAAAAAAACACATTAATACCATATTGTTTAAATCTATTCTTTACTAGTAATATTGGTCTTCCAAGTAACTGTTAATTCATTAAATCTTATATTTTATAAAATTTACCTACATGCTCTTTGTGAAACTAATTTAAACTGTTTCAACTTTGTATCTTAAAGTTAATGGATATTATTCCTTGATTGGCTTTTCATATTCTTTACTCTATTATTTTTATTCTTTGATGTGACTAAAATAGTCACATGTTTTGCCTAGACCTATATATATATATATATATATATACATATATATATATATATATATACATATATATATATATATATATATACATATATATATATATATATATATATATATATATATATATATATATATATATATATATATATATATATATCTTCACTTATTTATTGCAAAGCAGTAGTGAGTTCTCTGACTATTCTTTTATGTGCATTTATTTTTGTCTTCTTCATAAAATTGTCTGTTCTTTATTATTCTCTTTCCCAAGACTGCACTCTTCGATGACTTTATTTATAATAACAGTTTGTTTTTTTTAATTTTACTAACATAGTTAGATTTTTTTATTTATAATAACATAGTTAGAATTTTTTTTATTCATAATAACATAAAATTTTTGAAAAAATGGTTTTAGTTCTCTTTTAAAAAAATTAAATTAAATTTTAAAAAAACTTCAATTAAATTAGTGCTTTTTAAAAGGGTGGATATAATATTTTGTTTGTAAATATGCACATTTTACATACAAAATATTGATTTCACCTGAGCTGAATATGTAGGTTAAATAAATACTTTGTATGTAAAACATGTATAATGTAAACAAGGTCATCTAGAGTTTAACAATTATCTGACATTCCTCATGTTTTACTTCTGATTTGTAAACTGTTATAACAGAAAGATTCTATCGTGTATTAGATGCAATTCTCTTGTGCATTAGATGGAAATGCCCTTGGTGGGCAACTATTTCCATCATTCCCAATAGCTTCTGAGGTACCACAAGGTGTCATCCTTGGTGCTGTGTCATTCCTTGTCTAATAAATGATCTTTCTGATAACCTTACCTCTTTAGTGGCTCTATTTTCTAATTAGAACAGGCAGCTGATCTTGAGTGTGATTTCTCTTTAATGACACCTTTCAGTGGCTGCTAAATTTTAAACCCAACAAAATTCAGCTAATAGTTATTGCAGTATTATTGGTATCCCTACATTGATGAATGCTCCAATGAACATCGAACACTGCAATACTCCTATTGAGACCTTTATGTCTTCTCAGATTTTCATTCACCACTGACCTCTCATACAAACCCTTCTCTACCTTTATAAACAACTTATGAAATACTGCTGTCATATTTTGATTAGGCAAAAAGAATGGCTTCTTGTCATTCTTTTAATGAGGTCCTCTCTCTTTGCTGATTAAACTGTTATTATTACTCATTCTATAACCAAAACTTAATCTTAACTCCTCATTTAGCTCAGTTGCATCCTTTCACTGTAACTCATCCTTCATGCTCAAAGCAGTTTTATTTATCATTCAGTTTTTTTCACAAACGAGTACTTTTATATTCTCTCCCATCTTTTGTAGATCTCCCATCATCTTAATGTTTTCCTGACACATACCATTTACAGTTTTTTAAGACTTCTTTCTTGTTCTGTAGGTCTCTTATTTGTTTTCTGTTAATTCTTAACTTTTTTTAGTGGTTGCTTGTAGTTCTATTGGGAGTGAGTAATATACACGAAAAATTAGTTTTTCATTGTAACAAAATATTTTTATTCCATGAAATAAGTTTAATTTTTTTTTTTTTTTTAATTTGAATTCACCTCCTTAAAGCCGTGAAGGCCTCTACAGTCGAGGAGGCTACTTACGATATGGCTAAAACCCTCTCTCAACTCTATAACTCCAAAACACGAACCTTGATGAACAAGGCCGCTGCGCAGAGAAACAAGTTTAAATTAACTAAAATGATAATTTTCTAAAAAAATCATAACTAAAATTTGTTTGAAAACATTTTAGCATAACAGCAATTAGTTGATTTTTTAGTCCAACTGTAGTTAGTCAACTAATTTATAAACAAAAAATTTTCATAAATAAAATATGAGGTAGTTGTACAATGGTTTGTCTTTATAAAAAAAAATTGCAATTTTTGTACAAAAGTTTAAAATTAGTTTATTTTATTTACTAAAGTTTCTTTTTGTAATCATTATTTTTTTATTTTTTTGTTGTTGTTTTAAATATAAAATTTAAAAAAATGATTTTTAAACCAAATAATATAGCAACTTGAACCAAATAATATATATCAAAAAATACATTTGTAAATATAATTATATTTATTTGTTTAGTCATATGTACATTTGTGAAATTATATTTTTTTGTTTCTTAAAATAAGTATAATGTGGAGTCCAGGGATGCGGAGTCCCAAAAAAGGATTCTGGATTTGAAAGTCGCAAGTCACTTCAAGTCACAGATTAATTCTTTCTAGTTTTTGATATCTTTAGAAATGATGCTTTAAAAATATTAAAAAGCTTATGGACGACTAATGGGGAAAAAATCAAGACTCATAGGTTAGAAGAACAATCAATTTTTGAACCCAGAGTTCTTTGGTATAATAGCAGGACTTCAGGCTTAAAAATAATAAGTTCCAAGTCATTAAATATCATAAATTTTTTTTATTATAGCAGATCATTAATCAACCAACTTGTTTAGAGCTTCTGGACACCAGAGACCATAAAAAAAAAAAAAATTTATAAAGCCAGAGTCTTTTTGGGTCTCTGCATCCCTGGTGAAGTCGTAAAAAAAAAGTACTGACTTCGACTCCAGTTGTTGAAATTTTCAAAGTACGACTCCGACTCCAAAGCAAAATTTCTGAAAAATTCTTTGAATTTTTTAAAAAATATTACGCGATAAATTAAAAAATTAAATGAATATTTTGTACATGCACGTGCAATACCAAAAAGTTTTAATATTGGAGTTGGAGTTGCGATTTTGTTTAGCAACTCCGTTAAAAATGTTGCGACTCCGATTCCACAGTCCTGATAATAAATCATTCTTAAACCAAAATTATTTTTATTAAAGAATTTAACAGTTTTCTTCCTTACTTATTGTCCAATAATAATGATAATACAGCCAACAAGCAAGATGGTCTAACATCAACTAATGCAGAAAGAATTACAAAAATAATGAATGAAATGTGACAAATATACTCTTGTGTTGTATAGTTTTTCTGTTTTTTTTTTTTTTTTTTTTTTGCAGACCAAACTAAAAATCGGTAATGGGGATATATAATCAAAGACAAAGTATATAATCTAATTTTATGTTGCTTTTTTCTGCTAATTTCTTGTTTGTTGTAATATTTAGCCTTTGAAAGCATTATATCAGAATAATCTATAAACAATAACATTTATGTGTAAATATTCATAATTTAAACAGTGCTAGGAAAATCGCAGAGTCATTTGCCATCCCTGTTAAAAAAAAAAAAAAAAAATGATTTTTTTTTACTATTAATAAACAAATCAAGTTTTATGCATTTAATGAATTTATTTGGGTCCTAAAAAATATGATTAGCATTTAAAAATCCTTAGTAAACTTTAACAAGATAATAAGTAATTTATTTTTATATTAAATTAGGTTGGCGGAAAAAGTGTTGAACATGTTAAACCTTATCAATCCAAAGGAAAAAGTGTTGAACATCAATCCAAAGAAAAAAAGTAAAAAAAAAGTTTTATAAACAGAATAAGGATACTTGAAAGAGTTTTTTTTAATGAAGTAATTATGTTAGTAGTTTGTTATATATTTATTAATTTGTTTTGAATACCAAATATTTTTTTTAGAATCAAGTCATATAATTTTGAGGATGATGATGATTTGGATGATGAACGTGATCTTTTAAAAGATCTTGGTGTTATGCCAGCTTCTTACAATATATTAAACACTAATCAAAAAAATAAATCCAAGTAAAATTTTTCAATTTTTATTTAAAAAGATTTAAAAACTTTTTTTCTTCAAAATTTTATTATTTTAATTTTATTATTTCTTCAATTTTTTTTTTTTTTTTCATTTTTAAAAATTTATCAGTCGTTTAGATCCTATATCTAAATGGATAGTAAATGATGATCCAAAATCTGACAGTCAAAAAGTAAATGATTTGAAAAGTAATTCTAAACATTCTGTTAGCGAAATCAAGGATGATAAAATACTTGGTAATATTTTGTTAATAAATACTTGACATCAAACATCTTGACATCATAAGATTACTCTTATCTTTGTCTGACTGCATATGCTTAACGAACTTCTGAGTTTTGTCTGACTGCATATGCTTAACGAACTTCTGAGTTTTGTCTGACTGCATATGCTTAACAAACTTCTGAGTTTTGTCTGACTGCATATGCTTAACGAACTTCTGAGTTTTGTCTGACTGCATATGTATAACGAACTTCTGAGTTTTGTCTGACTGCATATGCTTAACAAACTTCTGAGTTTTGTCTGACTGCATATGCTTAACGAACTTCTGAGTTTTGTCTGACTGCATATGTATAACGAACTTCTGAGTTTTGTCTGACTGCATATGCTTAACAAACTTCTGATTTTTTGTTAAGCAGACAAATTTTTATTTTTGTTAAGCAAAGTCAGTCAGACAAAGTTTGGTTTACTCAAAACTATAGTAACCAAAACATTTGTATTGTATTATTACACATAAAGATGTCTTTAAATGTTATGGGTTATGACTTTTTAACTTTTTGTAAAATAATTTCCCAGTGTGATAAATCAATGAACTTTTGATCAATAGTAATGAAAATAAATTTTATTCTGATTAATTTTGACAAAAGGTCACCCATAATACAAATTTTTTAAAATGGTATAAAAGTAGTAATTACATGCATTAGCATTATGACTTTCTGAAACCTAGAATTTTATTGAACCTTATGGAACTTTCTAGAATTTTCTGGACTGTTCTTGATGTTTTTAGAAATCTCTGAAACTTTCTAGAATTTTCTGGAGTCTTCTAGAAGTTTATGGAAAACTACCTGAGCAACGCTAATAATTATATATGAATCTTTATTTGCCAGATGGCAGTCAAATAATATAGAAGTACAATAGCACTTATATATATTATTATTGCCTTTCAGAAATATATTCAAGTATTATCTTCAACCATGATGCTCTAGAAGACAATTACTTCCACTACTGAAAGAAACAAGATGATCTGGATCAAGAATCTTATACGGTTTTACATAGAAAAGAAAGGAGTCACATAGAAATGAAGAACTGTTTCACTACAGGAACAACTACTGTAAGATAACAGCAGGATACCACTCAAAATCTAAATTGTTGGTCGCTATCTGTTCATGGGAGAATCCATCAATGGGTGGTGAGAATGCAACTACCAAATTTGCAGTTGATTTGGTAGAATATCAAAAGTCTGAAGATTCAAAAAAAAGGTTCACAACAAAAAAAAGGTTCACAACCATTTCATAACCAAAAGGTTCACAAGTACCAACAAGAACTACAGCAAAACCAAAAATGCAATCAAATTAGTAACATCTTTTAAGTTATCAACCAACAAAACAGCAACCATTTGTTGACAATTGGTTGACAAATCAACTCCCAGATCTTAAGCTGGTATCGACATTCAGACACTTTCAGTCTGGTATATTCAGATCAAATATTAAATAAGCTGTTAAACTTAAAGAAGAAATGAACAAAGCACTATATTTAGAAAGCCAGTCAATGCACATTGGTGGTAAACCAAGAGTAGTTTAGTAATAGTGTTAGTTTGAAGAATAAACAAGAAGAAAAAACTAAATCTACCAGTTGTAAAAGCAGATGTTAAAGTTATAACAGCTAATCTTGATGAATATAGATGTAGTGGACACTACAAATGTAAACACTGGAAGAAGAAATAGGGTTGCTTTACTGAAAAGAAACAGAAAGAACCACAATTAAATTTGTCAAAATTAAGTTCTTGATTGTGTTCATTGTGGAATTATTATCAGAAACTATGTAGCAGCTTGCACAGCCATGAAAAACATTAAACTCAGTGAAAAAGTTTTGAAATCAGGAACCATTGAGACAGAAAATTCTCAGAACAAAACAGTGTGCGGGATGAGCAATCAAGTGTCTTTAAGATATTTTTGACATCTGTAAAAAGAAAGAGATCTTCCAGCTTAGATTTATTTTATCTAACAAAACTAAAGAATTGTAAGTATTACACTTTAATTTAGCTAAATACTACATAACATTTATTCAATATATACAGTAGCTTTTCATACTTGTAAAATTGTTATTTAAGTTTGTAATTTTAAATTTATTTGTAATTTAAAGTGTTATGATGTAGCGATAAACTATTAAATGCTTAAAAACTACATAATAACTCTCCAATAAAAAAAAAATAGAATTAAAAAATAATGGTCATAAAGTTGTTTGAAGTTTTATCCATATGCATATATAGTAAATTTGAGTTTAGGAGTGACCTTTTTTAACAAGAAAATCGAATTAATATTTTTTTCATTACTTTCGTACAAATATTCATCGATTTATGATCAAGGAACATGGGATCACAAAAAAGTCATAACCCTAATATATATATATATATATATATATATATATATATATATATATATATATATATATATATATATATATATATATATATATATATATATATACATATATATATATATATATATATATATTTTAACATCTTTGCTTCCAACAAGGCTGCAAGCAACCACTAATTAGTGTTGGAAGTTACTGAAAGAGAAAAGATGAAGATTGAAGAGCAAGATAACGATTGACAGACGACTTAAAAGATTGCAAATTATATGAATCAGGAAAGCAAGATGAAGGAAGCGAATTCCAAAGAACTGATGTTTGATTAAAAAAACTAGACGAATAAGAGTTTTTGGAGCACTTAGAAACAGTAACAGAAAAAGGATGAGACTTAGTGAAATGACGAGTAACACGAGAATGAATTTTTGTAGATGGCACAAGAGACGCTAGCTCTTTAGAGCAGTGCCCATTATAGTATTTGTAGAAAAGAGAAAGAGAAGCAACATTACGACAATGTGACAGAGGTTGAAGGTTGGCTGCAAGAGTAGGTCCAACTATGTTTACAATGCGTTTTTGCACCTTGTCTAAAAGAGAAAGGGCATCATTAGAAGATCCACCCCAGATATGGCAACAGTATTCCATACAAGGCCGGATTTGAGATTTATAGAGATAGAGAATAGAATCCAGAGTAAGAAGGTGACGAGCTCAATAAAGAGAAGCGACTTTAGCAGATGCTAATTTTGCAACGAATTTGATATAAGGTTTCCAAGAAAGATCAGAAGTAAGAGTTAATCCTAGAAGATGAAGGGTAGGAGACTCATCGAGTACATTACCGTTCATAAATATAGGAAGGTCTAAATTATTGCGATAACGATTGGCTGAAAAAAATTGAGTTTTATCTGAATTAAAGTTCACCAGCCACTGTGAGCCCCATGCTGTAGCAGAAGTGAGATCCTATATATATATATATATATATATATATATATATATATATATATATATATATATATATATATATATATATATATATATATATATATATATATATATATATATATATATATATATATATATATATATATATATATATATATATTATATATATATATATATATATATATATATATATATATATATATATATATATTTACTACTTATATATATCTACTACTATTGCTTATATATATCTACTATAACATATATAGATCAGCAATTGCTCTTTTTTTTCTTACTTTATTCCATAGAGCTATTTCAGAAAAAGAAGCAAAAAATGATGTGTATGTACTGAAGCACCTAGGCAGCAGGCTTTTTCCATATGACATCAGGCTTTTCCCCTAAACACACAATATAAGTTAATATGAAATAATAAAGCAGTATGATTTTTATATATATAATATCTAATTTGTTTACAACGTGATCTATTTAGGTATAACATCACCTGAATGGGATGATCTTCTTAAAATTGATAAAAAAATTAACAGTTTAGGATTTGGTAATAGTGTTCAAATTACAATTTTAATTTTTTATGTAACTTTTTTTGCATATTATTTCGGAGTATTTTTAAAAGTTAGGCATGACTTCAACATTAAATAAAATGATTTGTATGACTGTCTGAATTTAATATATAAAGCATACATAAGTTATGCATTTAAAATATAAAACATAACTTGGTACCATGTATACACTTAATAATATTATACATTTTTAATTTAAATGTAAGGATATTAAGTTATGACTTATTTTAATGTACAGTCGCGATCAAAAGTTTGGAACATTGTATAAAAAACACAATTTTTATTAAATTATTCAGTTATTTTATCAAAATATATTAGTAACCATAAAAATTTCCGAATATAATAACTTTGAAATACTAATAAATGTTTTATGAGTTTAATACTTGAATTTAATACTTGGTATGGTGTCCTTGAGCTTTCAAACAATTAGCTAGCCGGGTAGGCATAGAGTGAACAAGTTTTCTCAAATATTCAGGAGTCATTAATTGAGTCCATACCTGTCTAATTTTTTCTTGTAGATCATCGGAAGATGATGGTCTAAGTTTCTGGACTTCGTTTTTAAGATGATTCCAGCAGTTTTTAATGGGATTGAGGTCCGGTGAATTACCAGGCCAGGAGCCAATGACTTCAACTCCATTCTCAAGTAACCAACTGCTTACAAGCTTGGCCCTGTGACAGGGTGCTCCGTCATGCTGAAACTTGTGGGTATTTGTGATGTTCATGAATATTTTAAGTTTTTCTTGAAGTATTTCAAGATAAATATGGCCATTTATTGTGGTGTTAGGAAGCATAAACCATAAACCACCACTTTGATTGGCTGTAATGGCACCCCATATCATGATTTTAGGGCAATGTTTTACAGTTGAAAGCAAATATTTGGGGTTGTATCGTTGGCAAGGCGGGCGTCTAACGCTTGTAGAACGACAACCAAATTGTTCGATTAATGATTCGTCGCTAAATATTACATCCTCCCAATCTTCCGCTGACCAGTCCTTGTATTTCTGACAGAAGGCAATACGATCTCTAATATTTTTTGGAGAAAGGCAAGGTTTTTTTGCTGGAACATGGCTCGTTAAATAAAATTGTTTGCACAAACGTCTTCTAATGGTCACAACACTTGGTGCAACACCAGTGGGGAATACCTAAGATGAAATTTCAGAAGCACTGGCAAATGGATATGCTTTTGCATAACGATGGATGCGGTTATCTGCCCTTTGAGTTGTCACCTTTGGTCGTCCAGCTCTAGCTTTACTTTTAAAATTACCAGTGTCATGATATCGCTTCAATGTTTTTATGATACAGCTATGGGTTACATTAAAACATGAAGCAATAGAAGTCAGTGTCAATCCTTGTTCACGTAGAATAACAATCTGAGCACGTTTTTCAGTTGTTAATTCATTAGTTCTTCCCATAATTATTATTTTAATTTTTTTCTAAAATAACAACAAACTATGACTAAAACAAATTTAGTGGCTTATAACATAAATTACGCATGTATATAATACTAATACTCAAAATTTTCAATTAAAAAAAAAGGTTTTTAGCAAGTATTTCAAATTTTCTGCAAATTTTTAAAATGTTCCAAACTTTTGATTGCGACTGTATAGAAATTATTTATGAAATAATTTCAAATATATACATAATAGTATTGTAATGTTGTATATATTAAATATATACAACATTACAATACTATTATGTATATATTTAAAATTATTTCATAAAAAATTTTTTATACATTAAAATAAGTCATAACTTAATATCCTTACATTTAAATTAAAAATGAATTATTGCTTTTGCATAAGAAATAAGAAATTGTTCTTTTGAATTTTATTGTGTGTGCTGATAAATTGTTATTTATTTTAGAAGTTACCAAGGATACTAAAAGTTGTGTTATTTATTTTGGAAGTTACCAAGGATATTAAAAATTGTATTATTTATTTTAGAAGTTACCAAGGATACTAAAAACTCTAAGGGATTAAAATTAAAAGAATCAGATTATGAAGATGATTTTCAGGTGACTAGGTAGGTTTCAGATGACTAGGTGTTGTATTTTCAGTTAGCTAGGTAAATTTTTTTTAATTTTTATGTGGCTTGGTATTTTTTTTTTGTTTTTTTCAAGATAAGTTTTTTTCTTTTTATGTTCTTGTTTGTATAATTAGTTTTTATTACTTAATGTAAATTTAGTTAATAAAATATGTTTATCTAAATAATTACATGTTCACTGTTTTTATTATTGTTTTTGTTATTATCATAAATTGTTTTTTCTTTTTAAGTTTAATATTTTTCATCTAAAAGTTTTTTTTTGCGTGATTTATTATGATTATGGTTTTTATCGTAAATGTTTAAATATATTAATTTTTTACTGGAATTAGAATTTAACTGTTTTCTAATAAACCACAAATCACTGAATGAATATCTTTGTTTTACATAAAAGTTAATGAGGATGCTGCACATAGAGAAGAAAAAAAAGGAAAATTTGAGTTTTCAATAATACCAGGGACTTGGTAAAATCTTAACTTTTTCAACTTACTTACAAAGCAAGTGCTCATTAAATATGCATTAGTCTAAAAAATTAGGTATAATTTTTTAGACTAATGCATTTTTTCTTTTTACCAAGTCCCTGGTATTTACCTAAAAAATTAGGTATAATTTTTTAGGTAAATACCAGGGATTTGGTAAAAAGAAATCAGGTATAATAAAAATACCAGGGACTTGGTAAAAAGAAATTAGGTATAATAAAAAAGCACTATAGCAAATTGTATGCAAACAATTTTAAAATATTATATATTTATTTTTTGATAAAAATCAATCTTTAATAAATTTTTTCTTTTAAGTTATATAATTTACTTTATAGTAATATAGTCAATTTACTTACAAAAAAAAAAAAAAAAAAAAATGAAAGCACTTTTATGCAACAAAATTGCAAATAGGTTTTATTGATTCAATTGCAAATTTCAGTAAAAGGCATGTTGACACAAATTAAGCTTCTTCTAAAATTAGTTGGTAGTCTTTAAGGTGATTATTTTAAGGTTTTTTTTTTTTTTTGTCTTCTAAGTTGATTTCAATAGTTTGATCTTGGTTGACTGTAAACAGGATTTGCATACTAGTTTCAAACTTAAGTTGCTCTTTGTTAAATTTTGCGACGTTTTATTTGTGAAATGATGATGTGTTTCAAATATAGTTTAATATAAGTCATAGATAGTCTTTTCCATATGAAGGTTTACATGGTTTTAAATTTTAACTTACTTAGCATTGTTTTGTTTGGATGGCTGTTGTATTCTTTATTATTTTTTTTCAAAATACTACGTGCAATGCGTTCTATGAGATTATTTTTTATATATTTACAATAAGGCACAAATGTCATGTTTTTTTTTTTTTTTGAATCATTTTTAAAATTTATTTATCATACTTAAAGTTTAAATATTTAAATATGATAAATTAAGGCTATGTTAAGGAAAAAATTCAATAATAAAAACAACAGTGATAATAATGATTTGAGGTGAATACACCAGTGATTCTAATGACTTCAAACTTCTGATAATAAAAGCAACAGTGATGTTAATGGTTTCAAACATTTGATAATAAAAACAACAGTGATACTAATGGTTTCAAACATTTGATAATAAAAACAACAGTGATGTTAAAAACAATAGTGATAGTAAGTATATTTAATTATTAATATAGGGGGTACACATTTAAAAAATGATGTAAAAAGTATACTAAATGCGGGAAAAAAAAAAAGACAGTTGACTTGAATCTTGATGTTTCAAGTCGACACTATGTCCAATCAGCATGATATAGCACAGGTGAATAGCACATTCACACAATGATTTTGTGTAATAAGTATAGTATATATAATAAATATATAATGAAAAATTGAAAAAAATGATGCAGATAAAAATATGTAGACAAATTGTATCTGAGTTAATATCATACAATTTTATATAAATAAAAAATTATATATAGAGAAAGATCAATATAATATATATATATATATATATATATATATATATATATATATATATATATATATATATATATATATATATATATATATATATATATATATATATATATATATATATATATATATATATATTCATATTCATTATTTCAATAGTGCTGACAAAATCTTTTCATAATGTGATATTTTAGTTTAGGAACATTGCAAAATCTTTTTTTTTCCTACAGTTTTTATAATTAATTTCTTTATTTCATTTGAAATAGCCTTTCCCATGCTTTCCAATGCATACTTTTAAAATATCACTAAGAATTAAATTATAAAGTTTAAAAAATATTTTGTCAATTTTTGAAATATCTCAAAGTAATTGAGTTATTATACTTCAAACAAATTTTAATTTTTTTGTTTACAAAAACATGAATTGCGGGGGATGATACTGTTTTTAAACTTTTGCACTAAAGCTTTTCCAAAATACAATTAAATTTTAATTAACTGTTAATTTTACAATATTGGCAGTTTGTATTTCAAATTAAAAAAAGCACATTTGGTAAAAATTTCAGCATATTTGAGAAATTTTGTGAAAAGTTATGCATTAAAAATGGAAAAAAAGTTAACATTTCTAAACTTTTACAAGCTGCTGTATAAATTGAAAGTTCTACTTATGTACTAATTGTAATTGATGGTACATCAAATGGTACAAAAATCGTATCCTCCGTATATAAATTTGTTTATGAGTATTATAGATGATAAAGTTAGAAACCTAATCCCAAAATTGATAAGTTTTTATAGGTGTTACATTGATAACATATTTTTCATGTTTTATGAATCTATGAAAGAGCTGCATAAAGTCTATGATTTCATTAATAGCATCTAGCCTACAATTAATTTTATCTTTAATGAATCTAGCTCCTTAATTTTTGTCACTATATAAAGATAAGAACAGTCATATACTAAGTACTTTATGTTGGAAACTAACAGATACAATAAGCCTTTTGTCCAGCACGACTCCAACCATTAATACCATTATAAATATATAACTAATTTTTCTGTTGTAATAGAATTATATCAGAATGTGAAAGTCTTTTTAAAAAGTTACTTTAGTGTGAACTTTTGTGTTAATGGGATACACAAGAGCTTGGCAGTTTTAAGGCAAGCTTTTGAATAACCCATAAACACAATTTTGTAGTATTTTCTTTAGCAAAAGATTATTATCATTGTTGTTTTTATTATCGAATGTTTGGAATCATTATGATCACTGTTGTTTTTATTATCAAATGCTTGAAATCATTACTATCACTGTTGTTTTTGTTATTATATGTTTAATATCATTACTATCACTGTTGTTTTTGTTATTGAATGTTTGAAATCATTACTATCCTTGCTGTTTTTGTTATCATATGTTTTATATCATTACTATCACTGTTGTTTTTGTTATCATATGTTTGATATCATTACTATCACTGTTGTTTTTGTTATTGAATCATAATATTTTATGTGTTTATAATATATAATATTTATAATATTATATATATGCATAAAATATTAAAGAGAAAATGTTTATAATATTATATGTTTTTATAAGATATTATATAACGTTTACATGTATTAATTAGATATTATATTATTTATAATATTATAGATGTGTATAAATTTCCATAAAGCAAAAATTTATAATATTATATATGTGTATAAAGTACGAAAGAGCAAATGTTTATAATATTAATGTTTATATGTTAATACATAGAAAATATTTATAATATTTTATGTGTTTATAAGATATTATATATAAATAGTTTAATGTTTATAAGTTGTTACATAGAAAATGTTTATAATATTTTATATGTTTATAAGATATTAAATAGTATATAACTTTTAAACCCAATGTTACAATTTTAAAGTTCACAGAAAAGTGATGGATTGAGCATTAGTGAAGAGCTTGATGATGATTTATCTATTGGAAGTTTTGCCGGTAGCAAAGTAAGTTTTGATTTTCTATACAAAAAATAGGTGTATTTTATACTTGTTTACAAGTATAAAATAAACTTGTTTACAAGTGATAAAAGCTGTATTTGTCGTAGGGTTTTATTAGCTCCCTTTGCTGTAATTTTATTTTTTAATTCTTTAAAACATTTTGCTTTTTTGTATATTTATGTACTGGATTACTAAAACATTCTAAAGTAAAAGTAACCGGATTACTAAAACGTTCTAAACATTGCTATTATTTGTATAATTATGTACTGGATTGCTAAAACATTCTAGGTAATGATAACTGGATTATAAAAACATCGTAAGGTAAAGATAACTGGATTATTAAAACATGGTAAGATAAAGATAACTGGATTATAAAAACATTGTAAGGTAAAGATAACTCGATCATAAAAACATCGTAAAATAATGATAACTGGATTAGAAAAACATCGTAAGGTAAAGATAACTTGATTATAAAAACATTGTAAGGTAAAGATAACTGGATTGTAAAAACATCTTAAGGTAATGATAACTGGATTGTAAAAACATTGTAAGGTAAAGATAACTGGACTGTAAAAACATTGTAAGGGAAAGATAACTGGATTGTAAAAACATCTTAAGGTAATGATAACTCGATCATAAAAACTAAAACAATGCACAGTAAATACTAAATTACTAAAACAATGCACAGTGGGCCAGAATGGCAAATTTTGAGACAAAACTAATAACTAATTTATTATTAGTGCTACATTCATCAAATTTGGCACGAGTACTAATATGAGGTCTGGACTTTTTTTGAAGGAATTATTTTTATTATTTGTTTGCTATGAGTACCTTACTTTGCATAGCAACAGGTTATTTTTAAGAATTGCAGGTTTTTTACTTATGCTATTTTCACTATACTTGTTATGTTTATTTATATGAAGTCAGTAATACTTATGAAAGTAGTATTTTTTTTTTTTTTGGTTGCTATGGATACCTAATTTTGCACAGCAACCTTTTTATGCTAGTTGTAGTGTTTATTTGTACTGTGTACAGTATATATGGTACTTATATTTTTTATTTTTTCTGTATTTCTTTTTTTTTTTATCGATTGCCACACTTGAAAAAAAAGGTTTTGTCCACTACCTGGGCCATTGTGCATGTATCTCTCTCTTACATTACCCAAATTTTCAAAAAACTTAGCTAAAGATCAAAATATAAAAACTATTATTTTTATTTTGTTATTTTGTAATAACATAAACTAAGTCCTATTGCATTTTATTCTTTTAAAAACAAGTTCAAAAATTTTAAATTTTCCTATACCGTCGCACTTAAACATCTGCGATTGAAAACTTATTTTTTTGTGGTTTTACAAACAATAAAAGTATTTTACCAAATTATTAATTCGAAAGCTTATCAAAAAATTATTTATCATAGCTGATAAGTTTATAAAAATTAGGCAATGATTTTGAGGTAATTATATTGTTTTTAGTATAGTAACTCTTATATAAACTCATGTACAAAATATTTATGAAATGTACAATCTAGTTTTTATTTTAGAAAATAAAAAAATATGAATTACACCATTATACGAGAGAAAACAGTTTAAGTATTTTATCTAAAGATATCAATAATATTTTAAGTACATATATTGGTGGTAATAGTTAAAATTGGATCAATTTATTGTGTTGTATAGAAGAAAATGGAATAGATGCAAAAGAAATAAGTTTTTTTTAAAAAGAAATTTAGCACCTGGTCGGATAAAGACTTATATGCAAAAAACTAAAAAGTTAAAAAAAGGCGAAAACCAAAAATTAATTTGAATAAAGCATCAATTAAAACAAAACAAAGAAGAATAAGCAGTTTGGTGAAAGAAAGTACACCAGAAAAATTATAATTTGCTGCAAGTAAAAAATGTAAAAAAATAGAAATTTACCAGAGGCAAAAATATTTTTAGCTGATGAAGGGCTTGCTTTAATTTTAGTTTGTGGGCTGGATAAAAATGCATATCAACTTATAAGATCTGCAGCAGCAATTAAAAGCCACAATAACTTTTATCCAGCATATAATAATGTCAAAGAATCTAAAAAACAATGCTACCCAGATATGGCAACTTGGGATGTTGACAGTTATTCAGCATCAGTTAATATGCAGAGTCTCTTAAATCATACTACATTAAGATTGGTCTCTTTACAAAGTAATGCTCTTTCACAAAGTTGTGTATCAAGATTAACTTTAAGATCAAAAGTTGGTTTTGATGGTGCAACAGGTCAGACAAAATACAAACAATTTGCGCCAGATCAAAATGTACACAATCTTAGTATTGAAGGAAGCCTGTTTATTACCTGCTTTATTTTATTAGAGTTAAGTGGATTTTTTGGTACAGAAAAAAAAGTAATCTGGCTTAATCCTCGCCCTTCTTCAGCAATGTTCTGTATACCAATAAGGTTTAGATATGTAAAGGAAACAAATGAAGTCATCAAAGCAGAGGATCAGTTCATTGAAAGTCAAAAACTTGATTTAACAGTCTTATCAAATGGTTGAAGGGTGCAACATATATTAGAATTAACCATGATAGATGAAAAGGTTACTAATGCACTGTCTGAAATAACAAATTGAGCCCAATGTTGTCCAGTGTGTGGAATAACTCTATTCAAGATGAATAATATTGATAAATGCCAAAAAAAAAGTTACGATTTACTAACTGAACTTAAGTTAAAAAGCATGGAATGCTTTTTACATGTTGCCTACAAATTTGAAATAAAGAAATGGTGAGTATATAAAGCTGTTGAAAAACAGTCTGTAAAAAAAAGAAGAATGAATTTCAACGCAAATTAATTGAAGAACTTGGTTTGGTTGTAGACATGCCTACAGCTAATGCTCCAGTAATTATGGCAACATTGCACGTCGTTTCTTTAGGGAATCTGAAAAAGTATCTAACATAATTGGTTTACCAAAAACTCTTCTTGACAACTTCTTTGTGATCCTATGTACATTATCCTGTGGTCTAGATGTTGATGCTGAGATATTTCAAGAGTATTTGTTTACAAGTGGCTCGCACGTATGTAAATTAATTTCCATGGTATTACATGTCAGCAAGTATTCATAAAATTCTTTTTCGTGGTCATTCAGTTATAAGAAAAATGTCTCTTCCAATAGGCGTGTTATCAGCAGAAGCTCAAGAAGCAACAAACAAACTTTTAAAAAAAAATCTTGAACATTTTAGTCGTAAAATGTCCAGAATAAAGAATAATGAAGGCTTACTAAGACGACTACTATTTTCATCTGATCCATATATTAGCAGTTTGAAAAAACCAGTATCAAATTCTAATAATATTCAAACTTCCACATGAAGCAATTCAACTATTAAAATTGTCAAGCTTTAAACATGATATCTAAGTTACATTCTTTATTAGAACAATTTTGTTATTTTAATTTGAATTACTGTTGGTGTAGCTACAGTGCAGTGTTTTATAAATAATGTACAGTTACAATCTTTTATCTTTGCTATAAATGTAATATAATGTTTACCACACTGGCGTAGAGACAGAAGGCGAAGGACAATCGCCCCCCCCCCTCCCCAACCAACGCAAAACTCCCATTTTTTCATTCTAATTCCAATTCTGGCTGGTTTAGCCCCCTTTTTTTTTTCAACCCAACTAACTTTCTTGACCTTCCCGAGCCACTGGTTTACAATACTTTAATTTATAAATGAAGTTTGTTGTAATATATTAAATTCACAGTTTTATTTAACATTCGCACAAATACAGAGTATTTTATGAATTTTGTATAAAACTGAACATGACAACAAAAAACTTGTTGCTATAAAAATGAGGTATCCATAGCAATCAATAATAAAAAAATATCCCTCAAAGCGGAGACGCTATATTTTTACTAATTTCAAATTTAGTTAATATAACAATATCGGTTAAGTTCTATATTAGTTTTTCTTCAAAAATAGTTGTTCTGGTCTGCTGTGCATTGCACCCCCTCCCTCTCTCTCCCTCTCAAATTTTTTTCCTTATTTTTGAACTTTATAAAATATAATAAAAAAAAAAAACCTCCCCCTTCCCCTGACATAAAAACCTGTGCCATGATTACAGATTTTGCTAAGTATGCACCATTAAAGTAGATATTGCAGTTGCAGTTGCAAACAGTTGCAAAAAAAATTACATATATTTATTCTTCATAGATATACACATTATGTAGGCTACATCGTTAAATGTCAGTCGCCGTCATTTAAAAGTTCTAGAACATTTTCATTTAATTTTTCATGAATAGTTGAGTAAAATGAGTATACAATATAAATTACCGTATGCCAACTTTAATAAATATATCATTTAAATAATATTTGTATCAAACTTTAAATTATTAATGTACTAATGAAGATTTATAAGAATTATTTAAATTAAATGTTGTAAAAGTAAAATGGGTCAGATTTAAAAAACATATAAAAATTACAATTTTCAACATAAAAACAACAGTGATGCAATTATTGTGCTTCTAAACCTAAACTGATGTAAACAAAAAAAAAAAAAAAAAAAAAAAAATCATAATTTTAATTAAGTTAGTTTTTAGTTAATTAGACTTTGCAACAAAATACCAAAAAAAAAAATTCTTATATTTTCACATTAAAAAAAAAAGTTTTGTCCACTATCTGGCCCACTGTGCAATGTAAAGTAAAAATAACCAGATTACTAAAACATTTTAAAGTAAAAATACCTGTATTAAATTTGTGTTACATCAAGGTTCTAAAAATTTTTTTTGTACCTTTGTACTTTGATATAAAATTATAAACGTAATTAAAAATTACATTTTTTTATTTATTTTTTTTAGTTGTAATAGCTATTAATAAATAAACTAAGCTATTAAAATTAATGAATAAACTATTAAAAAGTTCAAAACTGCAATTAAATCATTTTAAAGTATATAATTTTTTTAATTAAAAGATTTTTTTGAAAACTTTAAGAGATTTTATTTATAAACTTATTCCATAATATTGTGCTTCCGGCGGAAAGTTATGAGTTTGCAGAGTTTAAGTTTCAACGTCACAAACATAAACTAGTCAACGTTACAAACATAAACTAGTCAACGTCACAAACATAAACTACGTCAACGTTACAAACATAAACTAGTCAACGTTACAAACATAAACTAGTCAACGTTACAAACATAAACTAGTCAACGTTACAAACATAAACTAGTCAACGTTACAAACATAAACTAGTCAACGTCACAGACATAAACTAGTCAACGTTACAAATATAAACTAGTCAACGTCACAGACATGAACTAGTCAACGTTACAAACATAAACTAGTCAACGTTACAAACATAAACTAGTCAACGTTACAAACATAAACTAGTCAACGTTACAAACATAAACTAGTCAACGTCACAGACATGAACTAGTCAACGTTACAAACATAAACTAGTCAATGTTACAAACATAAACTAGTCAACGTCACAGACATAAACTAGTCAACGTTACAAACATAAACTAGTCAACGTTACAAACATAAACTAGTCAACGTTACAAACATAAACTAGTCAACGTTACAAACATAAACTAGTCAACGTTACAAACATAAACTAGTCAACGTTACAGACATAAACTAGTCAACGTTACAAACATAAACTAGTCAACGTTACAAACATAAACTAGTCAACGTTACAGACATAAACTAGTCAACGTTACAGACATAAACTAGTCAACGTTACAAACATAAACTAGTCAACGTTACAAACATAAACTAGTCAACGTTACAAACATAAACTAGTCAACGTTACAAACATAAACTAGTCAACGTTACAGACATAAACTAGTCAACGTTACAAACATAAACTAGTCAACGTTACAAACATAAACTAGTCAATGTTACAAACATAAACTAGTCAACGTTACAGACAATATCTGTAATAATCAACGTTAATATTATCACATAGAGAAAACTAGACACTTTTCAGAAAAAACTAAATAACTTTTTAAATATTTTCTGGAATATAGTTGTTTATTAGAGTAATTCTGCAATGTTAAAAAAAAATAATTTTAATTTCAATTTTCTATTGATAATAAGATTGTTATAGAAATTGTCCGCTTTTTGAAAAGTTTTGAAAAGCGGACATTTCCAAATTATATGGAAAAAAAAAAAGTGGCGGATTAAGACTTCTTGGGGCCCGTAGCTATTTTTGTTTTTAGAGGCCTAAATATGACTTTAAAAAAAAAAAAGATCCTCTAAAATTTTTTTGGGCCCCTTAATTTGCGGGGCCCGGAGCTATAGCCCCCCTCCCCTCCCCTCCTTGATCCAGCACTGAAAAAAACAGTTAAGTTGATAAATTCAATATTTTTATTACAATAATAATACAAGCAGAAAAAATTAGAAAAAAATTATTTAATTAGCTTTAGCAAGCTTGATCTTGAAATAATAAAAAAAATTTATTAATTAGATTTTGCAACTTTTCGTGCAAAATTTTTTTTTGCCTTTTATATACCCTTTTGAGAAACAAGATTCACAGAGCTACGAACTGCAACATAAAAGTTTTAAGTTTTAAGTTTTCCATAAAACTTGCACCTCTAGATTTTCATTTTCAAAAACCTTTGGGCACTTTTTGCACTCTTCCTACTTTTTTTCGGTTTTCTTGGCTGGAGTTTCTTCTTTTACTGCTGTAATTTCAACATATGTTTGTTTAAATAGCTTTGCATCTTCTTTTCAAAACTGGTTTAACAATGCTTCTTCTGTAAAAGCTTGACCAGCCACTGTTCTGACATTTCTGGCTTTTTTTGCAGGATGTTTGTAAGCATTTTGGAATTGAAATTGCTTCAAGAGAAATTTTTTTTGTACGAATTGCTGAAACTACTTTCAGCATAAATTTTTCTTAAAATATCATACCAAACATCTTTGACATGGCAAAATACACCAACATCAAGAGCAGAATGCGAGATGAATGGGCGGAAATGCAAATTAGTGATATATTGTTTTCTTCAGATTTTAAGGCTACACTTAATGGCACGTGTGTACTGTAGTCATCCTAAAGTCAAATATGTTGACTATCAATTTTTTGAATGTGAGGAATAAACATTTCATCAAGCCAATACAAAATTGATTACTTTCCACCCAACTATATTGTGTAAAGTGTGTTTGATGGACCTCCTTTAATCTAATCATCATAGAGTCGATTCTTTGATTTGTAAACAACAAAAGACGGTATAAAAAATTGTCAGCATTAATACAATTAAGAACAGTGTAGCTTATTTTTTCGTTATTTGTAGCGATGTTTGTAGCTGATCTTTCGCTTAGTTCTGAGTGTCATCGACTCATAAATCCTTTGTACCATTTGATACCAGGCGTTCCATTTTTAAACAAACGCTATCATTTTCAATTAAATAGTCTCTCACTAAACTTTGAACTTGATCTAATCGTCTACCAAAACCCCAATAGTCAAGCATCTGAAGAAGGTGAACCAAGGTTAATTCGATAAAAGAACTCACTTTTGTTGTATTACCACTACCAGTGTGCCAACATAACGAAAACAATCTTATCCAATGCGCTTTTTATTGTGTAAGGCTTCTCGTTTGTTTTATTTTTTGACATTTTAAGTTTAGTAAATTCAATTAAACAATATAAGTGCAAAAGTACAAAATTAATTGACACGAAAGTGTGAAAACTTAAAGTAAAGAAATTTAGTTTTCCCGATAGCTGGCCACTTTTGTGCACTGTCCGGTTTGTGGTACTTTTACTTGTGGAAATTTTTATTATATGTGTAGCAAAGCAATTCTGCACATTTGGTTTTGTGTTTATTTGTAGGGTAAGTTGAATCATGTTTCTTCATTTTTTTAAATTGTGGAAAAGTTAAAATATGTATTGCCTCTTTAGTTATTCACTGTACAAAGTACTAGAAAAAAAAAAGAATTATCTGTGGCTTACTGTGTCCCAGCCACAGAAAATTAAATTCAAGTTTAATTTTTTGGGATATGACTGTTTGTAAAGGAAATGTTAAACTACAAAACGGAGACATAAATATCAATAATCCGAAAACTAAGCTTCAACTTTTTAAATTATCTCCATGATCTCTATATTAAATAAAATTATCTCCATAATCTCTATATTAAATAAAAGGAGAGTAATAAATTTACTTTTGCTTAAAACAAAAATTACCTTTCAAAAATATGTAATTAAAAGTTTTATGAAAACGACTATTAATTAAGAAATATAAGCACATAAAATGAGGACATTAACAATATAGCAAAAAAAAAATATATATATATATATATACATATATATATACTATATATATATATATATATATGTATATATATATATATATATACTATATATATATATATATATATATACTATATATATATATATACTATATATATATATATACTATATATATATATATATATATATATATATATATATATATATATATATATATATATATATGTATATATATATATATATATATACTATATATATATATATATATATATATATATATATACTATATATATATATATATATATATATATATATATATATATATATATATATATATATATATATATATATATATATATATATATATATATATATATATATATATATATATATATATATATATATATACTATATATATATATATACTATATATATATATATACTATATATATATATATATATATATATACTATATATATATATATACACTATATATAGTATATATATATATTTGTTTATTTATTTTGTATAAATAGGCTGATGACATCCTGACTACTGATCAAACGGTATCTCAATTAAGTGGAGTTGGGTTTGACTATGGCGAAGACGCAGAAAGTCAATGATTAGTTATACAAAATTGTGTAAATTATTGAAAGATTTTTAGATATTAGAAAAAAAGAAATCATATTTAAGAAAAATTATTAGTCAATCTATTTAAAATATTTTACAAAGGTTGTTCGAAAAGATTGTTTCTTTTTTTAATCCATGATCCAGAGCACGAATGCGTAGCTTTTTTTTTTCGCTCATCAAAACAATAGCCAGAAACTCACAACCCTGTGTTTGCGGAAAAACATTCACAACCACATTGCTACAAACAAGGTTTGTTGCTATGTCTTTCCACAAACAAGGTTTGTTGCTATGTCTTTCCACAAACAAGGTTTGTTGCTATGTCTTTCCACAAACAAGGTTTGTTTCTATGTCTTTCCACAAACCCGTCTTTAAAGTCTTTAAATCATAGTTATTACAAGATCTGTAAATTATAAATAGAAAAAGTTATACCATATTAAAAACTAAGAATTCTTTACTCTAAATAAGTACACACCTATCCCAATGGACGCAGAACGTTCGTTGGACGTCGTACAGACTTGTGACGTCAACACTTTTGGAGCGAGTAATTTATAATAAATAAGTTTATATTATAGAGTAATTTATAACAAATAATTTATAATAAAAAGCTATGAAATTAAGAAAATTTTTAATGAAAAACAGTTCGGTTTTCAAAATTTATTTTACAATATGCAATATTTACAATGCAATATTTATTTTACATATTCAACCTATAACAGGGTGGCCAGCCAACTGGAAATCCGTGAAAAGTCTGAATTTTTTTCTAGTCAGAAAAAAGTTAGGAATTTTTAATTTTTTTTTTCAAAAGTCAGGGAAAAAAATCTCGTTTTCAAAAATTAATTTTTTTTAACAAGAATATCTTGAGAACCATACATGTTCTACAAACCAAATTTTGTAAGTAGTTTTATATATGTTCAAAAAATGTGCTGAATTAAAAATTATATAATAAACAATATTTAATAACTTTAAAATCATTATATTTTATCAATAAAAAGAAAAAAGTATAAGTGCAGCTTGCTAAAGTTCAAATTTTAATACTTTAATATAAAAAAAAGTTAATTTTCTTTAGTTCAGCACATTACAAATACATTCAAGAATAATTGCTGAAAATTTGAAAAAAATTCAATGAGCGGTTAAAAAGTCATCTTTGTTAAAAAATTAAAAGACACACAAAAAGTTAAACGCAAGAAAAATGCAATTTAAAAAAATACTAAAAACACATTAAGTTTTTTTACACAATCAAACCTACTAAAAACCACCACTGTTGTATGCAACATCTTCTGCTTCATTATGTTAGTCAATAAAGCCTTTTTTAATGGCCCCTAACTTTTTTCTAGTGTTTTTTGTGGCATCTGTACTTTTTATCTCATTCTGTTTAATGCGTACATAATCTACATTTAGAGAACTTTTAGTTGTAAAATATCCAGGCAAAACATTACATTATTTAAATGCTGGTAGTAAACCCTGAACTCCATTAATGAAGCTAATTATTGTATAGGCCAAAGCAATCTCATTAACTGTTCTTTCCACATGAACTCTTTTGAGTGCGCGAGTCCAAACCATCTCATCTAGCAATTCATTACCATTTTGAGTTTAACCATGTAAACCTTTCTTGAGCAACGCATCACTGCCAAGAACTATTTCTAAATAATTTTTTCTTTGCATGGATTTGCATCACAAACTTGCATATAAGAATTGGTATCTCCATCAGCAATGTACTTCATGTACTCGATTTTAAGCTCTTTGACAGATTGGTTGAATATTTGTAGAGCGCCTTAAAATTCCATACTTCCTGAGCTACCTTATGATTAATGTGTGATCTTCCAGTTCTCGTAAGCTGGAATACCTATCTTCTTAAACATATCTTAATATGATATGTTTAAGAAGACTTTTTGTTTTAGCAACAGCATCAATACAATTTCCATGAGATATTGCTGTGACTATACTTTTTATTGAGAAGTTTCTTCTGTGCTGAACCATCTATGGAACCATGATGAATCATCTAAACTAACAGCAACATTGACAGTTGATGATTCATCATAATTTTCAATTTCAAAAGTTTTTCATTACGTATGTTCTGTTTGTACTCACTCTAGAGGCTTCAAAATAAGCAACAGGAAGTTTATTATTAATGTTATGGTAACCACGTTTTGTCATACCAAAAGACATATTCATTAAATAACAAAAAGTAATAATTGCTATGTATCCTTGCCCAATATCTCAAAAAGTTAACACAGTACAAAGGTTAATTTCTCTCATTTTTTACCTTTGATTACTTCATTTTTATTTTCTATTCATTTTGAAGTTAAAAAATTTATCGTCCATGTAAAATCTTGACAAGAAGTGTGAGAAAGAATCTCTTTTTGATTAATATCGTGTACAATATTGATTGACAAATAACATTCTAGAGCATCTTTCAATTGTCTTCAACAAACTTGAAAATAAATATAAGTTTATATTTGTATTACACTCTTTTTCTATATTATAAAGTTTTCTACATCTAGATAAGTTTTTTTTCCAGATACCGATTAACTTACATTGTGAATGTGCAGACAAAACAGTTTGTTGTAAAGCATGTGAATTATTTAGAGAATATTTTTTTAATTTATGAATTTTTCTTTTTTTTACTCTTGTTTTAGCATCTATTTTTTTGAACGCATTTATAAGGAAACTTATCAAAAACAACCCATCAATAAAAAAACATTTGTTAAAGAGTAATTATCTATATCTTACAGAAACGAATATGAGGTTTTAATTTATGGATATTAGATCGAAAACCAACAAGAGTTCTTAAGGAACAATTTAGTCATAAGCACACACAAAAACTACATAAATTGGAGATATATTTCTCAAGATATTGCAAGAAATATATCTCTAAGGGCCGTTGCTAGGGCACTTTATTTTCCAGTACCAAATCTATTAAGGATAAGTTAGACGTTTGAATTATTTTTTTTTTTTTAATTTTCTTAATTATTTTAAGAGAAGATATAATAAATTAATGAAAATTGTAAAAACTGAAATTTTGAAAAAAAAAAAAATTTTAGCCTGTCTTTTGGGGTACTACCACCTTAATATCTCTGTCTGGGAAAAATATAAAAATTCAGGTAATTTAATTGTACAAAGTGGCTGGCCACCCTGCATAAATAATAAAATAACTCCTTTAAAATAAAAAGTTTGTAATCTTTGTTGATTTGTTTAAGTTTTGTTTAGCACCGTGGATCATATAATACCTTCTAAAAAAAAAGATGGAGAATATAATAAAAAAATGGAGTATAAAATAAAAAGCGTCGCTTAAACGTGGTTTAAAAGTTGTTGTTTTTTTAACGCACAACATTGCTCAAATTTAAATGTATAAATATTGAACATAAAAATTTAAACAATTGATTGAAATCTAATAAATTATCATTAAAACACAGAAAAAAAAAATAATACCACCTTTGCTGAAAATTGAAAAAAAAACCTAGAGAACTTACGCGACTAAAATTTCTTGGAATACTTATAAAAACATCTCATGAAAAGCGTACAAATACTTTGGCAAGACATCAAAAAAGATTGGGATGATCTATAAAACTAGTTTTATACTTTCTCCCCCCCCCCTCCCCCTAGTACTTATCAAACCAAATTAGTCATACTTAATTGAAATCAAAAACATTCTGCAAGAATAGCTTGTAATGAGGATAAAATCACACATGCAGAGCCACTTCTAAAACATGTGAAACCATTAAAAGGCAAACAAAATATCCCAAAATTTGATGTTTATGCTCAGACTTTTCATTCAACTCAGTTACTTTTCGTTTTTTAAAAATATCTTTTAAAATAGAAAAAAAATTAATACGACACAAGAGGAATAGGAAACTTTAACATACTACTAAACAAATATCTCGCATTTCTCTACTTTATTTAATGGACCTTATCTATTTAACCAAATAATATCCAAAAATTTTAAAGTTTTAAAAATTAATAAATTGAATTCTGTTAAAAATATTGTTTGAAATCTAATTTTGAACAAATAATTTTTGTTAATCAAAAAAATAAATAAAAAGAAAACTTAAAAAAAAAAAACTATCGCATAAAATTAATCTAAACTAAAACCAATTAAAATAACAAATACTATTGATAAAAACAAACAAGCGTGTAGCTATCGCAATTCATGCGTTCCAATCATTACCCCGTGCATACAGAAGCTCAAGCATTAATTGGTAACTTAATATTGCGCATTCTAACGTCTAGTGCAATGTCAGTCCACTTTCTTTTGGCTTTTACGCTTTTTTGGCTTTTACGCTTATTTATTTCTTAACTCACTTACTCTTGTTCCGTCGAAGCGGGTTATGATGATCTTTAGTGAGTTAAACTCACTAAAAATCATCATAAGTTCTTCACGGAACAAAAATCATCTTAAATTCTTCACAGGTCTTGATATGTGGCCTCTATATGGCAATGAAACGGTCCTCCATGGATAAACTACAATACCAAAAATGTTGAAAAAAGATATTTGCAAATTTCAAAAAGAAAAAAATTATGATTTCAAAAACGATATTAGCACATTTCGAAGCTTAACACAATAATTTTAGTCTCATTTCATATTCTAACATTTAGTGTAATGTCTGTCCGCTTTCTCTACGTTATTTATCTAGAACAACTACTTTTCTTATTTACTTCTGTTCTTCCTAAAACTTACTTACTTTTGGTCCGTTAAAGCGGGATATGATGGTCTTTAGTGAGTTGTCTTTGCGGCCTTATACCAAGTGTAGTGGCTTCTATTTGGCAATGAGCCGGAGAAGGATAAACTACAATACCAAAAATATTGAAAAAACTTATTGAATTTTATTAAAAATGTAAAACATTTACGGAATTAAACAGATAACTTTAATGCTAATAACTTTGATTTAAATAATAATAAAAATAAATAAACACAAAACTATAGGCCTTTCTGTTCTTAAATTAACCACAAAAGTTAAATTTATAGGGCATTTTCATCATTGAGAAAAAATTGGTTTTACCTTTTATTAACGAGCTGGTACCCCAGGTGATGTGCTATAAGTGGTATCATGTGTTATTCCATCGTAAACTA